GCCCGTAAGTAAACTCAAGGAAAACCTAGACCTGATGGCGATGAACAAGCTGAATGTGTTCCACTGGCACCTCGTGGACGACCAGAGCTTCCCCTACGAGAGCGTTGCCTTCCCCGACCTCAGGTCAGTTCTCCTGTTACTGCAGTAATACTATATAACCAAATTCATTAAACTTATGCTGCGCTATCCTGATATTCAATCCGTTGCCAGCCAATGGCAAAGGATAAAGGGTTAATATCTGTAGAAAAGAATTGTTTATCAACCTCCGGCACCTACAGCTTCAGTTTCCTCTAGTTATCTAGATCTACATAAGTGAGACTCTGTAGATGCTCGGTAAATCGCAGCCTAGAAACGTAATAGCAAAAGAGCTCATACTCTAACTTCTGTGGACAACGTATTAATGTAAAAATGCATTTTCCTCAAAGTGAGGTATCAGGAGCAGTGTAAAATGATGTAAAATATTGACATTTTTCTTGGTTATATGGGCATCCTAATAACCTAATATTGATATTTCACCATCCTGTGTGGACAGCAAGCTCGGGGCATACAGCAGTAGCCACGTGTACAGCGCCGCGGACGTGGCGGACATCGTGGAGTACGCCAGGCTGAGGGGCATTCGCGTCCTGCCTGAGTTCGACACTCCAGGTGGGTCTGCGATGAAGACATTTAGTTGTGATACTGATGTAATCTCGAAACTAATTATATATACTTTTCGATAATGTTGACTTTCCTGCTGACCTTGTCTAAGTATAAGCGCACCTTTGACACTGAAGGTGGGCTTCTGACGCTTCTCTGACGTTATTCGTCGGAATGATTGTTTTGCACCCTCAAGTTTTACAGCACTACTTCGTGTAAACATTCATTAGACACTCCTATCCACTCCTCTATATGTAAGTGTGTGTGTGTTAGCGTGTGTGTGCGCGCGCGTGCATATAAAAGACCGTAGAAGAGAAAACAACTAAACGATGTTTCAGGTCACACGCAATCGTGGGGACCAGGCCAGCCGGGACTTCTGACCACATGCTACACGTGAGTAAACAAGAACCTATCGGTCCGATGGGTCGAACCTGACCGATAATCTTGAGAATTTTAGTAATGACATCTCTCGCCCAACTCTGCTGAATCTTTCGTGCTGATCTCGTCCAAAGGACCTTTCAGACTTAGGCAGTATCATGATCTGAAATCATTCTCTGGACATTTTGGTTAATAGGTCACCACGCACTAAATACTGTATCCAGAGCTGTCGTAAATGTCATAATTATAGCTTAGCATTGTTCAAAATTGTAAATATCCATGACACTGTATACTGTGTGGAAACCAAAGTATGCCTTAACATGTCACATTTGTCTCCCAAACCAAGTCCTTAATTAATCACACAGGCATTGTTTGTGTGCTTATGAACTAATTTCCATAAACTTACAACCAGGAACTCCACCCCGGACGGCACCTTCGGCCCGATCGACCCCGCGAACGATGCCAACTATGACTTCCTGAAGAGCTTCTTCACCGAGGTCACGCAGCGCTTCCCGGACCACTACGTTCATCTGGGCGGCGATGAGGTCGACTTCTCCTGCTGGTGCGTCTTCTTAGGCCTCCTCGTTCTAAGTAGGGTTTGGCGTGGGGACAGGAGAGCGTTTGGGTTTCTGCTGCGTGCTTTGGGTTCGGTGGTGTTGGGGTTAGTGTCAATTGCCGTTATCCTGGTAAAATCTAAATAAGGGAAAAAAAATGCCTTATGAGTTTCCTTGTGCAGAAGGAGAGTAATTCATCATTCATATAGCTCGTGTGAAAAATGTAATGAGCTCTCAGTTCATAATTACCTAAGAATAGGAAAGTTCTACCTCTTTCTCTTGTACTAACACGCAATGAAAGAAAAATAAATTGCCAAATATAGGAATGTCCAGGAACAAGTAAAATTAAAAATAATTGTACTGAAGTTTTCTGAGTTCTATGCCATAGTGTCACAACTTATGTTGACGTTTACTATTGATAAAAAAGCAAAATACATCAACGAATAATAACGAATACTATTTTCATTAAATAGTAAGTACTTTGTCACGGCTTTCAAACATTATTCGAATGTTTATTAATATGGAGATTGAATAAGGGAAAATTTCTAAGATAAAAATCTCTTGTCTTTGTTTTGGTTACTTCCGTTCCTGTTCGTTACTTTTGATTAGCCTATGGGGTTGTATCATACGTATTATTGTAAGGCCTAGCCCAGACCAAGATACATTGTAGCGAAACAGTTGAGCAACAATAAATCTATACTGAACCGATTAATTACTTAACAACTGAGAAGCATTCCAGATTAGTGGCTTCATAGTTTAGCAACTGTTGCGAAACACGAGCGACTTTATCCAGCGACTGTTGTGAGACACAGAAACGCTGGCACCAATTTGTATCCGAGTTGGCGGTTGCTGAATGATTGAACGCTGTTGTACGTCCAGAACAAACGGCACTTAATCTCCCAGAAACTGAGAATGGAATCTGACGCCCCGATCAGTCCAGTTGTCTTTTCTGTTGTCCAAATTTTGAACCAGGAAAAATGCTACTAGTATAATGTAACAAAATAAGCAAAAAATCCTGGGAGGAAACAAATTTCACGAAGCTATAACGAAACATAGTTTAGTGTTGCAATGAAAAAAAATATAGATGAACAGCGTAAAATGCTCGAAAGATGAAAGATAATAACAGAAATGAAATATGATATCTAATGAAATCAGATATATATTAAATAAATCAAATACACTTCCGTCTTAAAAACAAAGCAAAGCAAAGCGAGGAGGACTGAGATGCCACCTGATATTCCTATCATTAATCATTATTATCATCTGATTGATGTTACTATTGTTTCATTACTATTATTATTATATTATTATCATGATTATTATCGTTATTGTTACCATCATCTTTATTATTATTATTATTATTATTATTATTATTATTATTATTATTATTATTATTATTATTATTATTATTATTATTATATTATCATTATTATTATATTACTTATTATTTATTATTATTATTATTATTATTATTATTATTATTATTATTATTATTATTATTATTATTTCTATTATCATTATCATTATATTATTTCAATTATCATTATCATTATTATATCATTTCCATTATCATTATCATTATATTATTTATATTATCATTATCATTATATTATTTATATTATCATTATCATTATATTATTTGTATTATCATTAGTGTTATCATTATATTATTTATATTTTCATTATCATTATCATTATATTATTTCTATGATCAATATCATTATCACTATTAGAATAATGATTATTGATATCAATATTACAATTATCATTATCATTATCACAATAAGAATAATAATTATTGATATCAATATTACTATTATCATTATCATTTTCATTATCATCATTATAAGCTTTATCTATAGCATAACTTTATGCATTACTGTTACCATTATTGTTATTACTGTCGTTATTATTATTATTAGTAGTAGTAATAGGAGTAGTAGCAGTTATATTACTATTAATCATTTTAGGGAGGAAGATAAGGAAGTGGGAGAGGGGAGATATAGGGCTTAATATGGGAGAGGGGTAAATTTAAGGAAGATTTGGGGGTGAGAGAGAAATAACATAGCAGGAAAGGGGAAATATAAGAGATCGAAAATGCAGAGGAGGGTGAGGAGGGGGGGGGGGGTAGCGAGAAGTAGACGGAGGAGAGTGACAGATTGCGAGAGGAGTTTCGTTAATTGTTGCACCTCTCATTATCAACATTGTTACTGTTGCTACGGTCATTTTTTCTGCTTCTCTTGTATTTTCATCATTTGTAATTCTAGTCGTATTGCTATTAATATTTGTATTGTTATAGGCATAATCATTATCATAACTACTGTCCACACTATGTACTATATATTTTTGGTGGCTTATCATCATGTTTTTAATATTCCATTTCTTCACGTTCAAATTATATATATATATATATATGTATATATATATCTCTCTCCTTTTGAACTTTTACAGGAAGAGTAACCCAAACATCACTCAATTTATGGCACAGCACAATATCACGGGCGACTACAGTAAACTCGAGGAGGTCTATGTAAAAAAACTGCTTGACATCGTTGCCAATCTCCCTACCAAGAATGGGTGAGCCTTACATGTCCCGCTGTTATTATATATATATATATTTTTTCTATTTGTGTTATTTTGTTTTTCTGCATTTCTTGTTTTTCTTTGGCATTGCAGAAGGTAATTTTCTTAAATCAGAGGAGATGAACAACAAATGCAATTGGATCATCACTTTTTTCGCAACTGCTTTAGAAATACGCTTTGCATAGAATGTGGAATCCTGAGTTTCGCCCCACATGTAGGAAGTGGATTGTACACGAATGTAGACGGAGAGGTGAAATTGTGGACACATAAATGTCATTTCTTCGTTTACTTGTAGGTACTTTGTGTGGCAGGAGGTTTTCGACAATGGTGTGGACATCGCCAAGGACACAGTCGTCCACGTGTGGAAGAACGAAAATGTTCCAGCTGCGTGGAAGAAAGAACTTGATCAGGTAGGCGCAGTGATCGTATCCTGCGTGAGAGTCTGTTTCTGCTTCATTTTCATTCTATTTCTCTTGGATACAGTTTCCGATCTTTTACGGCTAATTCATTCCTTGAAGGTCACCGGCGCTGGTTATCAGACAGTACTGTCGTCGTGCTGGTACCTGAATTACATCAGCTACGGCGTCGACTGGCACAAGTACTACGAGTGCGACCCCCAGGAATTCAACGGTAAGTGGCGACGAAATGGAGGCAATTCCCGATTTCTACTTTAGTGGGTTCATATTTTGATTTTGGTGGCCCTAAACTAGTGCTGCTTAAGCTGGGAGATGCGACCCCCCAGGGGAACACCGGCAATTCCTAGGAGGGGCAAGCCCTTGAAAGAAGTATTTATTTTCTAATCAGTAATGCTATTTTTTTCCTCAAGACCGTAGGGGTACTAATGCGATT